AATCAGAGCTCTGATGAGGAAAAATGAAGCAGGGAGCATATATTTTTCCTGCCCACTGCGTGTCTGGACAGCATAGCTGAATGTATAGGCTTTGTATGCCTGGAGCTGGTGGGTGAGCTATTCAGGCCAGGACAGAGAGCCTGTCTGTGTCTTAGTACATCATTCCTGGCTCGTTTTTTCCACAAAGAGCCACCTAAATCTTTAAAGAACAGTAGCAGCTTGTTGCAGTAGAGGAAAGAAATTCTGTAGCTCTGCTAGCCCAGTTTTTTTAGTATCTCTTGAATCTTTCTGAGATTAAGGATGTGGTCCCAGGCATGCTGGGTTTTTTTCTGCTTTGAAACCAAACAAAAGGGCCTAGCTATAGATAAGGATATGACAAGGAAAGTTAACCCTTGGGTTGCTAGTAGCTTTGGCTTTATTTCCAGCCTAACTCTGTCTGTGTGACTGGATGGCACTGGCTCCCCTTCTGAATGAAGAGAAAAACTTTAATGTCTTCCAGCAGTATCATCAAATGGAGTGAAGTGCTGCCAAGTTCAGCCTGAGCTGCAGGCCCCACTGATTGAAAACAGGCCTGTGCCTTGAGGAGCCAGCAGATGAGGCTGTGTGTGACTGGCTCCATATTAGCTTTTCCTTGCAAGGCAGGGCAGTCCTTGTCTAGCCTGGCGATGCTGTGATATCCTGCTAGTTTCAGGGACATTTTACAACATCAGTTTTACAAGACCTTCTGAGACCTAGCTGAAGTGAGATGAGCTTTACAGAGCTAGCAGGACACCACCTCCTCAGTCTGCCCTGTTTAGCCCTGGGAGACTGAAGTAAGTGCATCTGCTATGTCTCTTGTCAGTGTAGCTGTGAGAGCCCTAGAGGTAATTTTCCTGAGGGCAGACTTCAACAAGGGCCCCCAGCAGATGCCCAGATGAAAGATTTCCACAAGACCAGAACTGTTAGCAACTCTAACTTGCCTTTGACAGTCCCTTTCCAGCCCCACTCCAAAGACAGCTCTTAGCTGGCTCCTTCTCTGAACCCTAGCACTAATTTCCTTTCTTAAGCCATGGACAAGCTCTGCAGCCACTGCACAGATGAACAATTTCTCTTAAGGCCAACTTTCCAGCCTCACTCTAACTGCAGCTCTGTGCTTTCTCTCTCTAAACCCCAGCCCTAATGCTCTTACTGCCAAAAGACTTGGTCTGGGAGCAGTCTTTCTTCTGAGCAGTGGCTGAGGGGGGTCCTTGTCTACGGCTCAGCAAAAAAAATTAGGGCTAGCATAGAGAGAAAGAAAAAGCATAGAGCTGCAGTGTAATTGGGGCTGCAAAGGGAAGTTGCAGTTACCAATAGACTTGGCTTGGGTGAAATATTTTGTCTGCATGATGCTTGGTGACCTTTTCTAGTGCTTCCCTGGAAAATTAGGGTTCAGGGTTGAAGGAAAGAGAAAACATAGATCTGCAATTGGAGTTGGGCTGCCAAACTAAGGTGGGAGGCAGCCAAGAGAGCTGGGCTGAGAGAAGTCTTTCACCCTGGCAATGGCTTCAGGGTCTTCTCTTCCCCTCAGCAAAAAATTACCCATGAGGGCTGCGTGATCTCACCTGCACAGCCTTTCGGCACACACTGTCACACAAGAAGAAACCCATGCTTGTGCTAGCTCCTTTCACTCACCATATGATAGGTAGATCAGCTTCATCGTCACTCATGTCAGTCTTGGTTTCATGGCTGGTTTTTCTTGTTACCTATTTGAAATGGTGTGAAGGGAGATGAGCAGTATTGCAGTAGAAGAATATTACAGTGCCTTTATTTCCTCCAAAGATCGTTGTTTCCATCCAGGAGAAAAAGGTGTTACCAACCTCCATGCCTGAACAAGGGAGAAAGACAGGGTCCCCAGCATCTGGTTCTGCAGCAGACACCCATAGTAATGTTAATACTGTGCTTGTGAAAGGTCCATCTGCTGCTCCTTCTGAATCTCAGAGCAGGTCACCCTTCTATCTCTGTTATCTTAGTGTCACATTCCTTAACCTCTGTATCAGTGGTCTGTGTTTGGCTGCAGTCAACTTGTTACCCAGGAGTCACTGATGGGTTGATTGTACTTACAGAAAGCTACTGCTGTTGTGATCCAAATTGACTGGGAAGGCAAGGACTGATATTGCCTGAAATGTATTAGAGCATGTTGCTGGCCATAGTCCAGCCAAAGCTAGGGAAATGTAGATAAAGCTTCACACTGCAAGTGGAGGTTATGTGTGCAGTTATTATCTGTGTGCTTGCATACATGTGTGTCTGACACTGCTTTAGTCCTTGCTCTGAGTTAAGTCTAGAACACCAGAATATGAGCTTCTGAAAAACATTCTCTCTGTGCTCTATACCTGGGGAATGCAGAGCATTTACCTTTCCCAGAGCCTTCTCTAGACAGGCCCTTTAGGAAGCAGGGCTGTGATTCAACAAGTAGAGATTTGAGAAAATGGGGCTGCTATCCTGTAATTGCCCTGACATCCACCACAGCCTGACCTCCCTAAACCTCTCTGTCTTGCATCTAGAAGAGTCAATGCCGTGTATCATTTTAAGGAAATAGATGGGTTTGGTGGGAGGAAGCCTGGCTCAGAGATTGATGATAGGATATGGAGGGTTTTTGTCTCTAAGGTGCACAGCTTGGGGTCTGACCCAAGCTTGCCATAACTAATGCTGAAGGACCTTGCTTTACATTGGACTGTGGCCCAGGATCAAACACTGAGGTCGGAGGAAGAGGCAGAAATGGTCACTAGCAGAATAGCATGAGGGAGGTTAGACAGGACACATGTTTCTGGTCAGCTTTTCACAGCTGAAGGGCCTGCACTGTAGCTTGCAACTCTTGTTACCTGGATCATTCCTGTGTGTATTTCTATGATATGTAATGTTGCCAGTTACTCCTCTGTGAGTAGGATCAGCAGAGAGGCTGAGATGAACAGGCCATGGAGACTTCACTTTTTCAGCTGTGATCTGGATTTGGAAGTTATCTGAGAAACTGGGCTGAAAAGCTTGTTCTTTCATGGCTGTAAGTGCCCTGGAAATCCTTGGAGAACGCTGAGCCCCACATACCAAGCAGTTCTGCTGTGCCCTGTCATGACAGCAAGGATTATATGATGAGATTACAAAGCAACCTGTGCAAAAGCAGGAAGAGATTCCCTGTCCTAGAATGTGACTTCAGAGACACCCATCTCAGTGAAAATTCAAACAGATTAGAAACAAGAACTAGCAAAATCCTTCCTCTGCAAGAAAAGCAATATTTCCAGTGATAAAGATAAATCACTCCCATGCTCCAGGGCATGCCTTCCTGCCAGGATAAGGAGGGAATTTCCTTCAAGAGTCTTCATGGCCCTCCAGCTCTGATACTGTAATGCAGTTGCGTAGGCTGGGGTGTAAGGAAGGTTTCTGTCTTCTGATGTATAACAAACTGGCAGGAAAATGAAATTGGACTTTAGGATCCTTCTTGCGTGCTTCATTCAGGGAGCTGAAACTGGTAGTGAAAGGTTTGTTTCTCTGAGGATTCAGCAGGGTTGGACTGAATATAGAGAGCAGGTATGGTTTGACATGATGTGTCCCATGAGGGACAGTGAATGGTGGTTAGGAAACTTCCTGCCAGGAGTTATCAGCTTCCCATGAATATAGGACTAAAATAAAAATGGAAAATGTGGTTACTAGCAGGAAGGTAAGTAGACCCTTAAGAAATTATCAAATTCCCTGGCCTGGTATAAGCATATGCATGCATCCATTAAACACTGCTTCTGGCTATTGGTTGTAAACACAGTGTAACTCCAATATTGCATGCTGCTGGTTTTTTTCAGACCAGCAAGATTAACTAAATGCTGAATGCATGATCTAAAGCTCTTCGGTGTCAGTAGAAAGATTCCTGTTGCTTTGAGAAATCTTTGAATAGAATTTCCTATCTGCTATGGTCTGGTCTCATCTGAAATTGAGTAGATTCTGGGATTCTCTCTCTCACTGAATTCTTATTACCAAAATATGGTTAACTTAGATGCTATCCTCCCTGATTCCACCACATCTTGCAAGGTGCTAGAATTAGGGTTTCAGAACACAACTCAGTAGCTGTCCTTTTAGATGGAGTCGTCTCCTAGTGGCAGGGATTGAACTGAGACCTCTGGGTCTTACAGCCTGACCCCCTTCTGTGTTGTTGAAAAGATCTGGTGCTAATAGTGGCATTCAGCAGCTGGTATAGACCAGGAACTCTGGTTTCCCCAGAGAGAGAGACAGTGCTTCATACTTGGGGATGTATAATAGATCTGACTTAAGAGTTAATTAGGCCAGTCTGGTTTTAGAGCATCTGGTGCTTCTGATATTTTCAAGGTGCAAGAAGTACAGCACACATTTTTTAGTAGGAAGGGCAATGCAATGTATTTTGCATGCGTTTTACTCTGTGTTTTAATTTTAATTCAGCAATTTTATTTAAAGGAAAAGAAATAGACATGAGAAGCTTGCAGGATGGTGGGCGATTTTCACAGTAGCTAGTTTTAATGTTGACAACTGTATTCTGTGATGTTAGCAATCTCCTGCTAGCGGGATTGCTACCTTTTGGGCTGGGCGCCTGCAAAGTAATGAAGGGTAACTGTATGACAGCTAAGAGGTAGGTGCGTGCAGAGAGGAATCGTGTCCCATAAAGTCAATGTAGCCTATGCTTTGGCATTCTTGGGACAGAACATGCAATGGAAGTATAATTGCTTAATCCAGATTCAGCACAGCTGCAGATAACCATGAACATAATCTTAACCCCACCTTCCTTGTGTATAATGAGATATAAACTGGCTTAGGGCAGACGATAGTTTGAAGCACTTAAGAAAAAAAGTCACTTGGCATGTAATTCTTAGTTTTAAAAATAATTTTATTCTTCTGAGTCTGTTAGAAACTGGACCTTCACACATGTTCACCCCCTCCATGTGGAAGTTTCCCTTGCTGTATGCGCTGAGCAATAGCTCAAAAAGAGTTTAAGCTGACAGCCAGCTGTCTCTCTTGCTCTCTGTTGGCAGGGATCTTTGGACAGCGATTGGAGGACACCGTACAGTACGAGAGGAAGTATGGCCAGCGCTTGGCCCCACTGCTGGTGGAACAGTGTGTGGATTTTATTCGGGAGCGAGGTCTTACAGAGGAGGGGCTCTTTCGAATGCCTGGCCAAGCCAACCTTGTCAAAGATCTGCAGGATTCTTTTGACTGTGGAGAGAAGCCCCTTTTTGACAGGTGAGTTGACATCACCAAATACAGGCTGGTTTGCCTGTGGCATGTAAAATCTGGCAGGAATAACCTTGCAGTGGCTATCCTAGTTTACATGTTCTTTCCACACCATCATTCTCTTAAAGTGCCGCTGGGGCTTTCTCCTGCATGGTGTTGGGTGCCGAGGCCTTCATTCAGCTAAGTGTTTGAGCAGAGAGAGAAATTGAGCCCATTAATCTAGGTGGGGCTACTCCAGTGTTTCAGCTTAAGCACATGTTGAATGAAATGCATTGCTAGGTTTGGGTGCAGCATACTCAGCAGTTGGTGGGATCCCACCGTAGAAATGGATATGACAGAGGTGAACTAGGTGTTCTACTGCTTTCAGATGTTGCATTCTCCCTTGCAGCAGCCACAGCAGATCTGCCCAGGGGCAATATCTCGCCTCTTCCTTTGTCACCAGGTTTCAGAATAGTCACCACCATCTCGCACATCTTCACTGGCTGTTATACGTGCCATGTATAGAATTGGTCAGCATGTCATAACAAAGCACTTGCTGACCCCAGAAGAATTCTTGGCCAAATTTTTTTTTTTGTCTACAATTTCAGCAGCTGAGATGGAACATTTATTTCAAAACTGATCTTTTGATTTTGAAAATATTTTGATTTTCAACAAAACTTGAGTCAAATGTTTCTGAAATAAAAATGGCAATTTTGCATTTTTCTTCCCAGTATAAAAATGTTGCCGTAATCACTCCTTGCCTGGTACAAAGACATGCTAGCTGCCTTTTTGTCCTACTGACCATGCCAATGTCAGGGAGCAGCAAAGGCCAGCTGCTCCATAAAGCAAGGTGAGCCAGGAGCCAAATGTGGTAACAAGGCTGGCAGAGGCAGTGACACAGTCCAGTGATCACCAGGCAAGCCCATAGTGACAAGGCAGGTCCAAGATCAGGGAAGGTAATCCATCCATGAGTCAGGGTCCAGGTCCAGATCAACAGGGTCTGTAGCCAGGCACAGACATGGCAGTGAGGCAGTGGGAGTTGTAGCTCAGACAAAGGATAAACAGTAGAGGCTTAGCTTAGTATCGGCTCCCATGGGAAGAGTGTCAGCCTTGGCTCGGAGTGCTCAGTCCAAGGTCAGCAAGGGAAGGGGAACAACGCTCAGCTGCGCTATCTCTACGTTGGCCCTGAGCCCAGGGAATCAAATCATCAAGAGGGCAGATGCTCTTGGGGCCCTTGCAGCCAAATCCTGTCCATACTCTGCAATTAACATTTCCTTCCCTTTCTCATGTGTACACGCTACCCAGAGTGAAGGTTGGCATTGTGCTAACCTAAACAGTGCTTTGAGAAATGGGCCTTGACCCTAACAGAGACCTTGAACTCCAGGGATATTTGGATCCAAGGCCATTGTATAGATCTGGCCTGATCTCTGTCACAGGTCCAGAAGTGGGATCAGATCTGGGATCTTGGCTTGGAGACCTGGCTCCATTTCTTGCCAGAACTCACTGGCACCACTTTCCCAGGTAATGCAGGCAGCATCTGGTATATTGCCAGCACATTAACCTAGGAGATCACTTCCCCTGGACCTGCAGCCAGCCTTGACATGGCCAATAGCATCCCTGCCTACTGCCGCAGGAAGAGCTAGCGCTCTACGGGCAGCACAGTGTTTGGTCTCATCCTGGGAAGTATATATATCCTTAGAGTTTATTTGGAACATTCTTCTAATTCTTCCCTCCCCTCAGCTTCCCAGACCACCCATCTTCCTTTCTTTGATTCTTAACCACAGTCAGTATTTGTTCCCCAAATGAAAGTGTTAAATATTTAGAGATATTTTCATGAAAAAATAAAGTTTGAAATCGTCAGATTGTCTCACTTCATCATCTCTTAAACAAAGCCTTTGTATTTTTAACTGAATGTCTGGGTGTTCTAATTCAGAATTAGAATTATCTTAGTTCATGTGGAATTGAACAAAGTTATTTTGGAAAATGCTCATATTCTGGAACAGGAGTATCTATGGAAGGAATTAATTAGGAATGACAGTTTCACTTTCATTTTTTACTTTAGTCTAATCCATACTAACTTCATTGTCATGAAGACAAGCCAAGCCTTCCTCCAGCATTTTTAAAGCAGAAAGCACCTTTATTTCCATAGGCATTTGCACTGGATAAATAGATCAGTGCTAAGTCTCACCTTTAACAGAGGCAGTAAAGATCTCCATAAAGGAATGCCTGCCTTTTGGGTAGTTGATTTGAAACATGATAACTGAAGGTTCAGTACAGAATTGAAGGAGGCAAGCCTAGGGGTATCCGAGTAGTGTGACAGTTGTGGGCCCCCCAGTCATTGCCTGTTGCTCTTTCCACCATGTCCACTGCCACTTGTAGGCCCAACTCTCTCCTCTTTGATATGTATAGTCACGGACAGCGATGAGGGAGAGGCAGTTCCACTCTGGCTAAGTGAAATGCTTCTCTTCCTAGCAAGAATTATTTTCTCTATGTGCAACTAAAGCTATCCATGTATGGCCTAGGATACTTAGGCAGCAGCAAGTATTTTCTGCAAGTGCAAAATCCATATGCTTGTTTCCAAATCAGGTGCAGTGAAAGGAATATCCTTTCTTTTTCCTAGTTGCAGTCAGTCCTTTTAGATGTCTTTTCTGTCTACAGTGATCTTCCAAATGCTAGAGCCTGCCTGCCCATGGTGGATCAGATCTCTGTGATGACTGATAATTAAAATATTTATTTTTAAAAGGCTTGCCTTTCCAATTTGGATTTTAAATGCATATGTATATTCTTATGAAAGGCCAGGTGTTGCTGTTTTGGAAGCATCTACAGCAGTCTGCTCCTATTGCACTTCCATGCCACCAAAAGTTTGGCTGGATTTCACATGGCCTTGTGGATGAAACAGTAACTGCAGCCAGTGGACCTGAAGCTGTAGTCTGGGCTCTGCTTCTGAGTGTTAGTCATATCCACTGTCCCAGCCCAAAACTCCACACTAAAAAAAACATAAAAAAGAATAAGGGTACTGACCTCATTTGTAAGGCATTCATAATCAACTGAAGAAAACCACTATGTGAAACTGTGGTATTCTCAAATATGGCGGAGCTGTTTAATAAGAATAGCGTTATCATGATCAGTAGCAAGTGGTAGCTGCTGGCAGCTTCCTGTTGTAATTTTTCCTGTTTTAGCTATGTGTTCCAAAAATGTTTAAAAACATACTAAGCAGAAGAGATTCAGCTTTTAGATAGAGGTGAGGATTTGAAGGTCTGTTGCCCCGTGTTTTTCTCAGGTTATTTAAAGACTGTCAGGGCAATGGTAGGTAGCGGGGAGCTGGTGACAGAATCTGTTTAGACTTCCAATGGTTGAAACCTTTAAGGAGATCATCTGCAAAGATTAAGTTGTACAACAGGAGACTTGGAATGAGGGAGAGGTATTGCCATGCATCAAAAGCTGGATAGGAAATGGAAAGGGAAGACTAGGTGCATCTTCATCATGGCATCTGACACCTCATCCCCAACTTAAAGCAAAGGACAGAGAAGAGGAAAAAGAAGTTCCTGGAGTGGGAGAGAAAAGAAAAGCTGGTACCCCAGCATAACAGATGGGCTAGGAAATGCCAGATACCCCAGCCTGGGAGAGGAGATGCGACCCACAAGCTGGGCAGCGTGCCAAAAGGCAATACAGGGCCTGGAGGAAATGCATCTTCCTCCATTTTTTTTCCCAAATGATTGAGACGGACACTTGGAAGCCTGGCTCATCAGACGCAGGTAGGTGCTGGCTGGGGAGAGTATCAGGCAGGAGGGATCAGTGAGAGGATCAGAGGTTATGTTTGATTGCACAAGGATGCAGAGGTCTATTGTCAGTGCTAAGTGATCACTGTGCACTTGCCTGGACTGTATGGCTCACATTCCTGATCCACATTGGCTGAGGAACCACAGCACCACCCTACCTTAAGCAGTATCATGGGCATGTCCCTTCCACTGCCCATATTGCCTGAGATGCATTTATATCTTGACAGAATGGGAAATTTTCCTTGTTCCCAGGTAGACCCTCCTGCCTAGTACAAACATCTGGTAGAACAGCTTCCTTCCATGTGCCTACTTTGTCCCTGTCCCTAAGAGGGACCTTGATGCACCCTCGTGAAAGGCATCAAGCTTTGGGGTACTGTGGGTTTCTAAATTTCCTTCCCTCTTCTCTATTGCAGCAACACAGATGTTCACACTGTGGCATCCCTCCTGAAGCTTTACCTTCGAGAGCTGCCAGAGCCTGTCATCCCCTTTGCCAAATATGAAGACTTTCTTTCTTGCGGACAGCTACTCTCAAAAGATGAGGGAGAGGTCAGTGATCCTTCCAATCTGCCTCCTTCTACCTTGAAGGTTGTTCCCAAGACTCAATGTAGTACAGCTTTCTTCTCATCACTCTTCAGTCCTGATTCAAATCAATGAAGTTCCTAAGGACCTTCCCCTGAATTTTCCTGAAGCTGTGAATTGGGCATTAGTATCACAGGCTTCTGCTTGAAGCAGGAGCTTTTTTGAAGTCAGTCTTGAAGCCTGGTGCTTCTTGCTGCTGAACAAAGCCATTCTGTAGCGTAATCAGCAAGAGATGCAATGTAGGAGAGATCTGAGTTCCTCTCCCAGCCTTGCTGTTGACTCATTAGCAAGCTGTATGAAGTCACTCCCTTTTTCTGTGTTTTCAGTTTCATAGAACAGCATGTTCTGCTCCCCAAAGTTTTTGGTGGGTGAGACATTGATCAGTGCGGTGGTCTTTGTGTTTCTCAGAGGAGAGGCACTACAAAAGGGCAGGCTATGATATTATCCCAGAATGGGGGAGATAATGCTATGAATACTTTGCCAGAACACTCTTACAATGTTCCTGTCTTTGGTTTCCAGGCAAGGGAAGGGGCTGACAAAAACCTCCAAGTCTGTGGCAATCATGGAAATTTTGATTCACTGCTTGGGAGGAGCAGGATAATTTACAATATGATTGATTGATCTGTTTCATCCATATTGTTCCTCTCGTGGTGATGCCTGAGCTCTTTGCTGATTGTGAAGGCACGTTGGATCTGGTCTTATGTGGGTGGAACTGTGCCACCTTCTAAAACAGAGGTTTAAAGAAGCTGTAAGGGTTGTTACTAGTGTCAGCTAAAGAAGCAAAGGCCTGAGGGCTTATCAGTCACAGTACACAGTTCCGTCCCTTTTCTGTGTGTGGCCTGAAGAGTGTGCTCACATCTTTGTCTCTGGTGGGGATTGTAAAAACTGTTCTTTGCTGAGAGCCTGGGGTTCACCTTTAGTTCAAGTGGCAGAAGGCTCTGGAGAGATTCAGTCCTTCATGATGCCCATAGAAAGATACTTGTTTGCATGCATCAAATGTAGCATATCTGATAGTGTTGTTTTTTACAGATAAAAGGCAAGTTTGCCACTACCTGTACTCACATGATGTATCCTCTAGCCATCTCTGAGAAAGCAAATTTCTGTACGTGACACAGCATACTACCACACATGGATGTGCATTTGCATCCTGGGCACAGCCACATCAGTGTGTCAGTGTACTAGTGTTGTTTTTTTAATAGGTACAAGTGCTACTAGCTCCAGAACTTGCTCATTTTCTGCCTTATCCTCAGTCAACTCGGGCATCTCTGCAGGGTGCTATGTTACAGACAGCACAACCGCTGATTTCACAAGAAATGGCAGCATTTCTAAGGCAGTGGAGCTCATTTCATTTTGGTCATAAGATGTGCAGACTGGGAAGTTTTGGATCCATTAAGCACTATTGCACAAGAGTAGAGACACTGCCAAGTTGGGTAAACATAATTGTATATCACTGCTCAGCTTATTAACCATGTAGTCTGCCTGATTTTGCCTGCACAGGCTGCAGTGGTTTGGGAAGCAACATCTGTGTTGGTTTTGTGGAAGCAAGGCCAGACTGAAATGACTTGTAGTGCAGCACTCTCTTTGTATTAGAAAGGCGATGAGGAGCACTAAATAGCCAACATGAAAGCTTACAAAATACAGTACTGCTGATAGTACAAAGTTGTCTTGTTAAGCTGCTGTTGTAAACATAAGCATTTGTTTTTGTCAGGAGAATCTGGTACCTTAAAAGGGGCTGTTTACTTTTTCAGAAAGGAAGGTGGAGTGCACGCAGCAAGGGTGGCGAGGCTGTGCATGTACAGTAGCATGTGGAGCACGATGTAGCACAAAGTCATACCAAGCCTGTAGGGCCTGACTCCCCACCCCCCACCCCCACCCCCGCTATGGAAAATCCCCCTGCTCAAAAATGTGGTTTCACTGAAACCATAATTTTTTAGCACAAAATGATAAGCAGGGAATTTCAAAATCAAACATTTCATTTGGAAAAAGTATTTGGAAACAAAATGCAATCTATTGTTTTAATTTGAAGTACTATTTTGTTTTCATTTTTCACTTGGAGGTTTTGAATTAGACTTTGGGACTCAAAATGTAATTTTCTTTAGTTTTGTACCCTCCTTCCCCCACAATAAAAATAGAAGCACTTAAGAAAAAAATACCTCTTCAGATAAAATTGTTGGCACCTCATGCTGCTACATTGTGACCATAGATAGGAATTATTATGATAGTCACTTGGCCTCATCTCCATCTGCGGCAAAAAAACCTCCAGCACTGCCCTAAGCTTTCCATTTTTCATTCAGATTGTGGTTCATCTTCATTCTGCACCCAGCTAATCTCTGGTGTTGGAATGCAAACAGAAACATAGCAGAGACCTTGGGCTGTGCTGAGGCCTCTCAGGTATCTTAGCAGGACCGCAGCGTTAAAAAAGATTTGATTCTGATCCCAACTGGCTGGGAGGAGGGATTGAAAACAAAAAAACAATTTTAGAGTAAGAATGAATGAAAGATCTTCAAATTTCTAAAACCTCATTTGAGTCCGAGCTGACTTGACACAGTAGTATTTTAGCCTTCACTGCTGCCTGTACTCTAGAGATGCACACAGCAGTTCAGTGGGCTAAGCACGTGGCTTTGAGTTTTTAGAGGGGTCTGAATTTGGGTGAATATCTGAAATGTTGCTAGTTTTCCCGTTCAGCTAGAAGCTCCTAACTGTTGCTGATCTGTTACACACATTGCAAAATCCTTGGTTTTGGGATCACTCCTTGGAAAGCGTGCCTGTGTGGTAAATTAGACATGCAGGATTTTTGAGGAGGTAAGAGTTATTACTGCAAAACACCATGATGAATGACAGTGCAGTGCCTCTGTTGCTTGCTAGGCTGCAGCCATAAGCACAATCAGTGCTATTTGTTAATAATGCAGCAGTTTCTAGCTTGCGTTTTCCTTTACACTTTCCCTGTGGTGTTACTAGGCTCAGCCTTCTGCCCTCTGTTGGTCAGGTGGTTAGTGGGTACAAACCTGTGGCAGAGCTGATAAATGCTGCAGCAGGAGAGAAATCTTTTTTTAACCTGGCAAGTGTTTGTACCTTGATGAATACAAAGATATCCTCTGTGTAATACCACGTTTGTGATTCATTGTGACAGAGCATGGACGATAAATTTTTAGAACCTTTTTTTTCTTTCAGGCAGCATCTCGTACCTTTAGGTCATGTTTCCAGCTGTTCACAACTGCCTGCAGTTTCTGTTCCAAAGCCTCCTCTTGCATCCACTGGAGCCATGGTATTTTAATTCAGAGCACTTGAAATACAGTGCCAAATACCATCCTGAATTCTGTACTTGAAATAAATTGGGTTACAGAGCAAAATTCAAGAGGGAATTAGGTCTGTTAGCTCACCTATTTCTAGTTCAAACTCCTTACTTGAAAGCTGTATGACCTGAACAGCTGACCTTAACTTTCACATTAGTAGCAGCTGTCCTTGATTCAAAAGTTTTCAGAAGTTTAAAAAAGAGGATTGAGATTTTCAAAAGTGACTGGTCCTTTATTGATGTCTCCATTGTTGTCACTGTTAAAACAGCATAACTTCTAAGCTAAGGAATTAAAAAGGACTTATTGTTTTTAAGTTTTAGGTTTTTATTAGAGGACTTTTTGTGCTGGGACATACAGAATAAAAAAGTATCTATACATTCAGGATGTTAAGGATGGAGGCAGGAATACAGACTGCTCTCTGGATCTTTCTGACTTGTCTGGACCAGAGAAATCAGGAAGATCTTGCAAGAGGCTGGCCAACAGAATTCCCCCCCTAACAGTCCTTAATAAATCGAGGAAAGTTTGAAATGAATGTCCAACTGCACCTCTTTGGCTTGGAACCAGCTGCTTCTGGAATTTCTCCGTTAGCAGCCCTCCATCATTAGTTAGCAGCTATCACTCTTCCCAAATGTGCTTGGGTATCTATTGTCCCACAAAAGGTTTAGTTGTCTCAAAAAATAAGCAAATCTCCAGGGCGACTGCAGCATTGACAGGATCAAGCAAATGGTGCTTGGGACTGTGGAAGGACAATAGCCTTCTGAGTCAGAGGTTTTCATTAGGTGATTTAAGTAGCTTCAGGGTTTTAAGTCATTTCTCCAGCAGATGTCTCATCTTACATTTGAATGTAAAGACAGAAATTTTATGAGGAAGTATGTCACAGCTCAGAATGACTGCAAATGGAAGTAAGTAGTTAAAAAGGAGGTAGTTGAATTGGAATGTCGTTCAGACTTTTTAAGAAAAAACTCTCTTCTGCTCAGTTAAGCATTACTGCAATGTATTTATACTACACTCGATGCCTCAACATTTCAAATAGGCCAGGTGCTGAAAAGGCACATTTGCTGGTACATGCTAGTGGGCAGACTTTGAAGACTAGCAGGCCTCACTAATTGAACACTTCTACATCAATCATTAAAGTTCACAGGAGGATTTCCACTGATTTTGAGAACTGAATCAAGTTCTGGACACTGGCTTTTTGGTAAGGCACAACACACTGGATGACACCTTTTTTAAAGCAAAGCCTTCTTGTGTCATCATCTGTTGTTCAGGGGTTTGACTCTGGAAAGAGGACTTTGTAGTACTGAAGGAAAGTCTGTTTTGCATCATTTATATTAATAGCTCTCCTTGTTTTTCCTGTCCCTCAGGGTACCCAGGAACTGGTTAAACAGGTGAAGAATTTGCCCCAACCCAACTACAACCTCCTCAAATACATATGCAAGTAAGTGAAATTAATTAACGCTTGGAAAAGTCACTAAGTTTTGTAAGGCTGGTCTTATATGCAAATAATTTACTCAGAAAGTATGAATATTCAAACATCACTTATATGTAAGTTACTGCTCCTGTAAAACATGTGGAGGTGAATGTGCAGCCTGCCTGAAGGAAGCTCTTGGTTTATCCAAGAGAATCAGCCAAGCAAATTGCTGTCACCCACAGTCTTGGCAGCATGCATGAATGATACTTATATATTATATTGTTTATTTCAGAAGCACTTAAAGACCAGTAAAGAAAGGCATTTTTTCCAGGTACTGTGCGGCTGGAAGATTTATGACCCAATCTGTGTAGCAGATGCAGTCAGAATAGCCTGTCTGGCCTCAGCTCTAGTTTGGAAGTGGGGTTGGGAGTGGCTTCCTCTTGGAGTACCAGTAACTCCACAACCTTGTCTCACCTCATCTCTCTGCTGACTCTCCCAGTTTTTGTGAAGTGGGCTGGAATGTGTTTTGGGAGCTGGAACGGACTGTTACCCTAGATACAATGTAGTGAACTTTATGTTGTATTCTAGTCTCTGTGGTAGTTAGTCCCTTTATGACAAGTGGGATTTGCACATCTGGAGCAGGCAGTAGACACAAACACTAACATGAAGCTCATGACTTATTCAAGAGATGTCAAGCCCTTCCCAAGTGTACAGACAGATAGCATTTCTGAAATGTGTTTTTTGAATGCTTTAAACAATTTATTTTGCCTCACTGTGTGCTTCTATAGCCATTTGTTTTAATATCTGAGCACCTCAAAACATGAATGGCTGAGGCAGGGGAATATAATTATACATGTTTCTAAGTGAAGAACTGAGGAAAGGCAAGGCAAGTAGAATTTGCTTCTGACTTCGTGAAGAAAACTGAGGATTTGGGGATCTAAGCATAGTGTCCACCACAGGGCAAAGCCACAGAAAAAATGGGAGTGCCTAGAAAACTCATGCTGCAAGTAGAAGCATTCAAAAGTTTGCCAAGTAGTGCAGAATGACAAGAAAACTTTTTCCCTGCCAAAACCCATCCAATCATCCAAAAATTAACAATAGTTTAGGAAACGGAGTACAGACAGAGAGACTGTTCACTTTTGTGGCCACTGAGTCCTGTTTCCTGCTATTGTAGGTTTGCTTGTCATGTAGTCCTTTTTACAACTTGGCTAATGATGTACTTAGGTATTTAGGTGTTTGTTACAGCCTTTCTATTACTCCAACTCCTATTGGGAGGCTGTTCCAAATTACAAAAACATTAATTGATAGAAACTTTCTGCTGATTTTCAGCTTATACATATGGATAGCCAGTCTGTCTGGATTTCTTTATGTGCTATCTTTGGCTTGCATGGTCTTTTTCTTGTGTCAATGTTTGCCCAGCTGATGCATTCACAAGAAGCATTTGGGCTACCTCTTTCTCTGTATTTTGTTAGATTCAAGCCACAAAGCTCTTTCCACAGGCTGCTAGTTCTGGGACGAGGAGATGAGCGAAATGTCTTTTTACTTCTGTTATATCTGTAAGTGAAAACTCACAGAAGTTAATTGTAATTGGAGAATTCCTATAAAAATATGATAATCTGTCCTTTCATACCCAGTAGAAGGCTGGATCCCTGGTAGGCTGGTACTTCTGGCAGAAGCCATCCTGTCCACTCTTGTTTCATACACTAGGAGGGATCTGGGGTTATTACTGAGTATCTAAGCTGTGTTAGTCCCTAGAAGCATTTCAGGAATCAGGGTTGTATAAACACAGGACAAAACTGTTCCTGCCCCAGAATGCCTACAGTCAAAGTATGAGAAGTCACTTACTTATTCCTCTCCTCCTTTGATTTTTCTGGGGGGGCTTTTCAAGGTTCCTTGATGAAGTTCAGGCTCACTCCAGCATTAACAAGATGAGTGTCCAGAACCTGGCTACAGTATTTGGACCAAATATATTACGGCCCAAAATGGAAGATCCAGTGACAATGATGGAAGGTAGGTACTACTCTTGTAAGATAACACAACACCTGTGTTTTGGAGCTGTAAGAGTATGCTGAAAGCCAACATTCGTTGGTAGCTGTATCACTTGACTGCACAGTCAGCAATGAGTCAAGCAATCCCTTTCATCAGTGCCTATGAGGATATGTACTGGTTGGCCTCTGTTATCCCACTCACCACTGGCCTAGGAGTGTCTCTTCTCTTCACTATACGGAGATGCTTCTGCCCTGTTCTAAGTTGTTATGTGAACTCTTTTTGAACCCACTGCTAAAATGAAAGCTCGAATGTTCTTCAGAAGGACCACGTTTAAGTAACAAACTGCTACCATTTAGTATTGGTGCACTTCAGTGGTTAGACAGCTCCCTGTAAAGGACATCCAGTCCACAATGAAAGAGGTACTGTAGTTTTTGCTGTGCCGCAGTGGCTATAACTAGGTGTCATAGAAGTGCTGTCTTCTAAGCAGGTTGTGTATGGGTCAGAACTTCACAGAACCTAAGGAATAACTTGAAAATCACTGTTAATTTTGGATGTAAAAATCTGAAGCTTGAAAATAACCTACGTCCATATGTGTCAGGAAATGCCCAGGGCATGATCGCTGGCTGGCTGACACTAGGGCTGGGATACAGCCCCTCTCCCAGGTGGCACTGGAGCACAGCTGCTGTGGTACAGGTTTTAGCAGGGTCTTTGCATGAAGTTTTGTGGGATCTTGGCAAGCCTGCAAAAAGAATTGATGGGTTCATCCAGCATTAGGTACAGATGGAGATGCTGTGCCCAGGATGTCTGAACTCAGCCCTGGCACTGCTCCCTAGCTGTAGGGTACAGCTGACATGGTGTTCTGTGTGATGGAAATCCTTCACAGAATGCCAACATTATCACACCTTAGCAGCAGCAGTGCCTTTAGTTCTGCACAAGTGACCTCTGAAAGGCACTGCAGATGTGTGCCCCACAGATGGCAACTCACTATAAGGTAATAGGCCAAGTTCAGAGCATGGCCCAGCATACTGTAGTTGTTCAGGGACTCAAAGCCTGCCACAGAGATGTGGGCCATATTATTAAGGGTAGATTTGAGACCTTCCCCTTGAAGCGGGGAAGGTACAAAAATGTGGGGAGGAGAAAAAGGGAGTGCAGGAGCGGATGCTGGACTGTTCAGTATTACAAAGGTGGGGATAGCTGAAACCTCAGTCTGTTGTGTGATGCTGTGCCTTCCCCTAGTGGCCAGTTGGCCAGTGTTGGCAAGACTCTAACAGCCTTGGCCAACAATGTGCTTTTTATTCAGTTGGTCCAGATGACAAGTTTGGGTTCAGTTCACCTTGGGCATTTCAGTATGTAGTTCAGCTGATGGCAGAGGTGCTTGTACTGTGTGTAGGTGCACAGGTGCCACAGATGCTGTGGTCTCATAGTCTCTCCTAATCATCATATAAACACACTACAGTGACCTGACCTGGAATTCTGTGTTACCAGACTTGAATTGTAGAAAAATGGGGATCCAGTGACTGGATTTTTAGACTTCATCATTATACTCATAAGCAACAACAACGGTAATGTTTTGTTTTATTGTTAGTGGAGGATAGAAGATTGGTTAAATAGAAATAATGGAGAAGTAGGAAGAGGCTCAATAAAATTTTTTTAGCTTCAGGATAAGATGGATCTGCTAAAACAGCTGATACAGAAAAATACTGCTGCTAGTTCTTAACAAAAAGCACTTCGTGTTTCTCTTCAAATGTAAACCATGAATTTCAAATAGAAATATCTGACATTTGACAGCTAAATTGTTATTAATGCCCTTATCTCCAGAGAGGTTTATTTCTCACCCTGCATTCACAGACATAAAATAAAAGTTGTAGGTGAGCTCAGTACCCCTTGCTATCAGGCTGAAACCTCATTATTAAATTCAGGCTGTTATCTTGAACCCCTGAGTATGTTAGTCTTATTCTCTATTTCAGATGCTGCTTAAAGATAGAATTACTTATTTGCTCTTTCTAAGGTTTTCCTCTTTTGTAGAAAGTGCTTTGTATTAGGTTTGGTAAGTGGAGGTCTCTATTAGTTCATAATGGTCTACTCTACTGGAAAACAATGACAGCTCATTTCTGTGGATTTAAATAATTGGCAGTACTTTCTGTACACCTTCTGCAGGCACATGTTTCATATAGATGTCATACTTTCTGCAAGTTTCTCTATACACTGAGTGCAGCAGAAGGCCTGAGCTGAAATTTCTAGTTCTTCAATAAACACTAGGTCTGGGCCTGTTAAGACTATGAAACTGGGTGCAATGTAGTTGTGGAAACCTGCTGGTTTTGGAAGCTGGGCAGAGAGGTGCTCCATCCCAGCAAACAGGTTAGTGCGTTCAGGATCCGGCATGCATCGCTGCACAGGGCTATGCTGTCCTGCATGGATGCAAACACAGAGATTGATGCTGGCTCTGAACCCCATGCCTTGGTGTGGTACAGACATGCCCTGTTTTCTAGGTGTTCTCCTCCTCTGTCATCCTCAATGGTGTCCTTAAGCAGGCCAATTTATTAATCGTTGCTAGTGATCATTTGTACTCTGCTAGTCAGCTACATTCACGAGCTGGACACCTGCATCCTTCACAGTCCCCGTTTCCAGCCAAGGGAATGGATTCCTGTCCCTTGCAGTCCTGTACAGAAAGGCCCAGAGCAGTTGTTTGTGCAGACCCATTGCAGTGCACAGACCTGCCTCACAAGGAGCTCCCAGGGCATCTCACAGACAGGGAGTGAGCATCTGAGGTCTTCCACGTCTCATCAACTGCTTGCCTTTTGTTTCCTCCCCACAGGCACCTCACTAGTTCAGCACCTGATGACAGTGCTGATAAGTGAACAGGGGCGAATCTTTGCAGTTCCTCAGGCAGATGTGCCAGGGAGCCAGCTGGAAATCAGGCCTGTGCACCAGCGCAGTACTGTGGAATGGATCTCTGAGGAGGATGGGGAGGACAGCAGGTCGGAGAACAGTGTTCCCAGCCCCGCTGATTTGCCCTCTAGCAGTGCTGTGGCACTAGAGGCCACTCCTGGACCTGCAGCGAAAAACACTCCTTCAGAGCACAGTGGCAAATTGACTCAGCCTGCCACCAGCCCCAATAAAAGAGTGCAGCCGCTGCCTCCGTGGAAATACTCCTTCCGCCAGCAGGGAGCACGGTCTGTAAGTCCAAAGCTGGGCAGCTCATCCTTGGATATCCCCAACCTCTCCTCCAGTGGGAACTGGCTGATGAATGGACTGTACTCCCTCCGAGGCCACCGCCGGACAGCCTCTGGGGAACGAGTTAAAGACTCGTGTTCTTCCCAGAGGCTCTCTACTTACGACAACGTCCCTTCGTCCAGCCTCTCCCTTAGCACACACAGTATGGCCAGCACCACGTGGTCTACATCATCATGTGAAATCTCTGTGATGGACTCAGTCAGCAGCTGCCCAGCCTGCCGGGCCAGTGACTCTTCTACTCTAAGCTCTCTCAAAACCGAGTGGATAACTCAGGGCTCACTGTCTCAGAGTGAGGTCAAGACTGCAGATCTGGAGAACAGCATTGACAGGTTTGAAGCATGTAGCAGCAGCAGCAGTGAACAGAGCAACCTGGCTGCAGCTTCCAGAGACTCTGTTAAATGCTCTAGGGCCTTACAGAGCTTGGTGGTGGAGCTAAAGACAGAACTGAGCAAACAGAGGACTGAGTATGAGACTAGTATCAAAAGGTAACTTCATCTGCAGTGGGGACAAGGAAGTTGTCTGTCAGCATTACCCCTGTATGCACATGGGTGTGGGCTACCAAGCATGTCAGGTTCTCAGACCTGGAATTTGGGTCTGCGAGACAGCAGATTTGGTTCTGCTCTTTCCTCACTGCTCTCTGAATCCAACTTTTCTCTCTGATCTAAGAGGGGATCAAAAAAAATGGGATTTCTGTCACACAGGGAATTCCAATATTTCACTTTCTATGTTTTCCCTGGGAATCAGAACTGCACAGGTAATGCCAAAGTCTGCTCTTTGTCAGTGTTCTGGGAGAAACAGCAAAGCAAACACCTTGGAGGGAGGGATTGGGACACAGGGTGGTCAGGCCCCAACAAGGAACTCCGTTGGTCTGCGCAGGTGCTGAAATTTGTACCAAATCAGTCTGAAATTGAGGGCTTCTTGCTGCTTTTCCCAACAGAAACATTCTTCAGGAAACTGATCTTGACTATTCTCTGGATTGGTTTGGTGGCTTGTTGGGTTTTTTTGTGTGGTGGTGGTGGTGGGACTGCATCTCAGCTACTACAACTTTTTCAGCAGCCCTTTTGTGTTGAACTTCTAGAAACCTCGGTTTTGATTTTTGATGTAGTGGTCCTTTGCTTGTATAGCCAGGCACTGACCCAAAGTGGCAACAAGGTGCTGCTGGTACAGCAGATAGGCGAACTGTGTAGTTCTTCGCCTACTCTGATGTTTACTTGCACAACTGCCACTGCTGGTGCTGTACTTTAGACCTGTGCTCAGAAAAATTACTTCCAGTTTCCAGGAGAGATGTGAGGGCAGGGGTTGTAGCAAGTAGAAAGTATTATTAACTAGGAAGTCATATTTATTCATGTGAGTTAGTACATTCAGTTTTATGAGTGCAAGTGCTTAATAGAATGACTTTCAGGCAAGCACTCAGGGAAATATGCACATGAAATATTGTTGCTTAAAGGAATTAGATATGTTTTAATATACAGCCATATGCAAAATTGCACTTCATGTTATAATACAGAAGAATCATCACTGGCCTGAAGCACTGGTACTTTGCACTGAAGAAGGGTTGTTGTCCCATTTCTTTCAAATAGTTGAGTTCTCAGCTTTTTTGTGTGTTGAAGTGTTAATGTTATACTCCTTCAATTATTAAAACTCTGGTAGCATTTACATGCCTCAATTTCCAATCAGCCTCCCAAACATGGTACCAAAAGCACATATGACTGTAGAAATTGTATAGCACAGCTTCAGGCTATGTTTGTTGCCTCTTTTTTGTTGAAGTAATTTCTCAAAAATGTTTCTGAACTGTGATTGCTTCTAGTGGCCTAGCTGTTAAGGTAGGAATTTCACGTGCTACCTTCCTGCTTTATTTTATGATTTCCTATGGTGGTGGCGTGCCAGCCTCTGCAGCTTTTCTGTCTCTTGCATTGTACTGCCTTGGTATGTGAAGCTGGAAGGAGAATCAGGCCACGAAGCCATTTCTGTTTCTACCCAACACCGCAGAGTGGGAGAAAAGCTTACCCCCACCTTGTTGTGTTCCAGGTAGAAGAGCTGATGAGACCACCACCGCTTGCTAGCATGGTGTGTTGGAAAAGGTTTGTGAAGGACGGTGGTAGTCCATGGCTTGTTTTTTTTTTAGGTGCCCTACTGATGCAAAATGGGAGGGCAATGAGGGTATGTGCCTTGCATTTAATTCTGCAGAGCTGCCCTGGCAAGCCTTGTTGCAGGGATAGAGAGTAATAAACAGAAAGGAGACAACGGTGCAAAACTTGGAAATGTGTATCTGCACATTTTCACCTGCTGCCTGGGGGAAGAGATGGCTTTCCACCTCTTATCAGTAAAACTTTTCCAATGGGGCCTTCAGCTGTTGACATTGGGGACATCCAGGAAGACCTACCTGTTCTTCATTCCAGCTGTTGAGCAGTTTCAGCTGGACAGGGACAGAGAGCACTGTGGCTGGAGGGGAGGACTACAAATTGGCCAGGTCTCACAGGGCAAAGTAGCTAAGAGGAAAATGCCTAATGAGCTAATAGTTTCATAAAACCAGGCAAGATGCAATCACTGCCTTTTTGTATTAAACAAGATGACTCCAGCTGTTCAGGATTACAGCCTGAAGGATCTTGCTGTCAAGTCTAAGAATTTCAAGCCAAGTTTTTCAGCTCTCAAAAATTTTGCAATGTTTTTACTACATCTGCAGCAATTTACATGTGAAAAGTATGTTCCTTTTGAGACTGCATGAAAAGTCTGCTCCTGTGGAAAGACAGGAACTAACTAGCAAAGAAGGGAGGCTGCTAAGCAGGAAAACTTTGGGCTGCCTGACTAGCTTTATTTTATTGAAGATAATTTAGTCCCCAAAAGTAATAATTAGTTGCTTTACAATTGTATGTGTGCTTGTGTGGTTTGCAGAACTCAGTGCGTGTAGCCGGGCGTGTTTTAATGAAGGAATATGAGCTTTTTGTTGGCACATACATAAGTGGAGGGAAAGCAGAGTCAGTACCCGCCTGGGGCAGAGGTAAGGAACGCTTGCTGATGGAAAAGCTGTTATTTATCATCATCAACTGCCCATTTTCTCTCTCTTAGTCAGAGGGAGGCAAGTTTTATGGCCTTCCTGTAACTAGTCTGTTCCAAAGCATTTCTCCCTCGAGGTTAGTATAATTATCAGGCATTCTCTGTTGAGTTTCAGTAATTGATGTCTACCACCTGGGACTTTTAAGAAACTGGAAGTACCTTGGAGAGGACTGTTATGTTGTATATGTAGAAATGCAGTAAGTAAGTACGGTGACCCATGTAATTGAGAACATGGACAGCTAGTCTAGGCTGCTGTAGCTGATCCCTAAACTTTGGGGTGGAAAAATTTAATTGGTAGCTCAGAGCTGTAGGATGTAACAAAAATGTTATAAAGGCGTGTGTGTTTGGGTAAGCATCCTAGCTTCAGGAGAGTCCTCTTATATTATAGAAGATAGCTATCTGGGTGATAAAAGTCTGCCTTCATCGCTATGGGGAGTTTTTGGCAGAGAGTGAACAGAAATGTTTACTCTCATCAGTGCAGCTGTTGGTCTGCTGGACTTGGTCATCAGTGTGCCTGTGTGTGACTTTCTAATTTGTTGTGAAAATGATTATATTGCCATTATTAGCTGTAAGTGAAGGAACAGTTTAAGGGGATGCACTGCATTGCCTGCATGATTGCCTCGTGGTGGTCACAAAATGGAATTCAGACCCTTCTGGGACTGTCACAAATGTCCCTTTTTTCTTTGTTGTGGAGGCTGTAGCATGCCCTTGTTGCATGTCATTTATCTTGTCTAAAAATAACCCATTCACAGTTTCACAGGAAAGCCAGGCATGCCACCTTCACAGCTGGGTATTATACTGATCAATGAACCTAAGAGGTGGTGGTTGGGGGGTTTTTTTGGCTGTTTTTTTTTTTTTTAAGTTAGAGGGGGGACACTTTTCCTAGGAAAAGCATAATTTTTAAAATCACCTTTTCTGAATATTCTAGTGATCAGAATTTCCTATCTAGATATACTCCCTTCTCTGTATTAACACCATTACTCTGTCTTGCAATTAGGAACCATGATGCAGAGGACAGCAAGTGATGTGCCTTCTGCACTTGTTTCAAATCAAAAAAACATGAACCTTGTTCTTTTGACCTCCTTAGAGAAAAGCTCCAAGTCTTGCATTAGAGCTTTGTGCACAGATAAATTTAAGGTCTAATCTCCAGATTCTTCCTCATATGAAATGCTGGGTTTTGTAAAATCTTGTACAGTATGAAAAACTTTTATTCCCCTACCCCACTGTCAGTGACAAACTTTACAGAAAATACCCTAAAATGGATGGTGAGGAAGGACTACGACCTCATTCCTACCTGATGTCCAAGGATGTTCCTCTGTACTGCATATCCATATAGGGAAACACAGTATCAAGATGAAAACAGAGGCTAAAAGATTATTGTGGAATTACATATTTGAATTCAGCCTGAGGAATTAGTTAATAAATCTCCTCAGCCATTCACTCTGCTGCCCAAAAGTAAGCATTGTTTTGTAAGACTTGAGCATATTTTCTTAAGACACAAATAGAGGAGGCTCCAGCTTTCAAGGAGTCTCTGCTCTTAAACTCAACATTAATGAAATGGCAATTAGTAACCTCCTTTAAAACTTCCTCTTAGAATTAAGATATTTTAGTTCTAAGTGAAACAACTTACATTTATTATAGCTATCAATCAGTATTTATCCTGCCACTTAAAAAACCTCTTCTGTTTTTTTTTTATTTCTCCCTCTCTCTCCCCTTTGATTTTAAGAATTGAAGAAACAAGTGCAGACCTGAGGAAACAAGTGGTTAGGTTAGAAGAAGAACTGGACCAAGAACGAAAGAAATACACGATGCTGGAAATCAAGCTGAGGAATTCTGAACGTGCTCGTGAAGATGCTGAGAAGAGAAATCACCTCCTGCAGAAGGAAATGGAAGAGTTTTTTTCAACATTAGGGTGTTTAACTGTTGGGAGTCAAAGTGCTAAAGTCCCCAAGTAGAACAAGCTGACGTACAGCACAGAAAATTCTATTTCTGGCAAAACCAGTGAAACTGCACATTGTTCTAGTATACTCATGCATCATGAGTAATTATTCTACAGTGATTATAGTCTTGGTGACACTTGCTCCATTGTCTTTACATGTGCTGTAGTATTTGGGCCAGCTGGGAAAGACTGCTAAACATAATGCTTGAAAGTTTAGATGTCAGATTGTCAAGAAAGAGTGAGCACCCTTTTTATCCACAAATCAAAAGATACTAGTCTCCATAGCTTTACTGCTGCCATCTTCAGACTTACTGCACCATCCTTTTGCTGGCTCAAGGACAGTGGAAAGTCCTGCAAGGTGGGTGGGATGGCCAGAACCGATTGACAAGCTGAGCCCGGAGCTGAGGGCCTCCTACACTTGCGCTTGGGAAGATGGCAATTCCAGTATGGCACCACATTCAATGTGCTTTAGCATATGAATTCAATGAGGTGGTTTTTCTCCTCACTTGTATATAAAGTTTGTTCAGATTTCTCATTTGATAAAGTGGCATTATTTTATGAACATAATGTGAAAACAAAGTCTACAAACAAGGTGAAGATGCCAAAATCTTGACAATTCACTAAAATTGTCCCTTACCAACCAAGCAGTTCCACTGTTTCACAAAAATGCAACTTACTAAATTGTATGTGATTAATAATCAGATTGGCCACACAAACTCCATGGAACTTTAAATATGCACATTTTTGCCCTAGGTATCTGGGGGTTTTTGAGCCAAGAATAGAGCAGTATTAGCTGCAAGAAAAAAAAAAATCTCATGAGTTGATATGTACTGATCAGGCATCAAGGTAGGAGAAGAAAGATTCTTATCATCAAAACACATCCAACTGCAGAGGGTTTATTATCTATAAAACTTTAATAGCAAAACCTATGGTAAGAGAAATTAGTGCAATTGGGGGGGGGAGCTGTAGATAAAGGGGGAAGGGTGGGGATCTAACTTTAACCTTCCTGGGACAATTTACACTTAGCTGCCTTGTAACATTTCTCTTGACAAGTTGATTTTTTTGTTGTTAGTTCAGAGGGAGATGAGGGGACAGGAGAAGTATATCGCAAACATCGCAGCAGCCTAAGTAAGTTTACTACTTCTACTAAAGAAAAATCATTAGAAGGAAGTTGTAATTTCCAGTAACTAGCTGCCAGGCCTGACTTCCCCTTTTCAAGGGACTTCTTTGAGAAGTTGTGTGTTGCATTTGTAGTGCCCTGAGCCACGCAGAGCCTGCACACAGAAAATTGTTTCACTAGATTCAGCCTGAACTCCACTTGCCAGCCCAGCACTCACTCTTTCTTGGCACGTACCTTTGACAGCTGAGGCATCTCAGAGGAGAAAAGACTTTTAACAGAGAAGTGCCATGACAACATGAACTGGCATAGATTGTAGTGAAGGTGCTTGCTTTATTTAAGTATTTGCAGAAAAATGACCTGAATCTGTCTTTTACTAGAGAAGAATATAACTGATTGTCTGGAAATAACCTTAGAATGGGCTTTTAAACATACCAGCAGATAGTACACCTTTCAGTATTGACCTGCTCCTCATCATCTGGCAGATATCCAAGTATTTCAATTTCAACATCTAGAAGTTAACTTGTTTCTACCTCACCGTAATGCTTCTCCTTCCTATAGAAATGTAAACGACTTAAAGTGAGCAAAAATAACCCTTCTAACCTAATCTTTCCTGGTTAAGACAAGTCAAGCAAGGTGGTAAAGCAAGCCATGTGGATAGGTTAATTCAGTTAATTTCAAAACATTTTTCCCTTCTTTCCAGCATATCCAGCTGTGCTGGATTCCTGACTGCCCCTAGTGGGAGGCAGTGTGGCAGGTACCAGAGTGTGCAGCAGGAGCAGTCTGCCACCTGCAGGCAGCAGCATCACCCTTGCCTTTTTTCCATGCCCCAGCCTTGTATTATTACTGATAGTTACAAGTGAGCCTGCGAGGAATATGACAGGCCTTTAAACAGCAGCATTAAGATACATAATGTGAGCAGCAACTGTTGTAACAATGATTTTGAGCTGGAACAACACAGCAGGGTAGGTACCGTTAAGTACCATGCTAGTTATCACAAAATAAACCTTAATATTACAGAGTGGCCAGAACTGGGTTGTAAGTAATTCTCTGCAATTAAGACATCAGGACTGGTAAAAAGAAGTTTCTACTGAGGCATTCAATCCAAGTAGTAGGAGCAACCAGGTTATTTTAATGCCCTCTTTTATTCCTACCCCCAACATGGGTACCTTTCACTATACCCATCCTGACAGCCCACATCCCTTAGACTATTTATGTGTGTTTGTATCAAGTGCAGACTACTCCCTTTAGTTCTGGCACACTACAAACTTACTTACTTAGGAACTGAGCCATGGTGACTGGGAGCCTAAAAAACAAATATGCAAGACAACAAGCACTAAACAGGACTGCTGGCTAACTCTCAGTGAAATCAAACACAGCTAGAATTCTAGATCTTCTGTAAGTATTTAAAATTAGGCACTGCTACATGTATAGCGGAACTGGGGAACAAACCCACCTATCCCAACTCTTCAGCTCCAGGATAGGATCACCTGTCAGCTATGTAGCACTACATAATCTTAATGGGGCATCCAGGATAAAATTAATTCTTCTTTTCAGTATCACAAATGAAACTGTATCCACTCAAACCGATTAATGGAACTAACCATTTCCCGGTAGACTGTTGTGCTCCAGCAACATCAATTTTCTTGTTCATGAGGAATAAATTCCAGGGTCCTTCTGAAGATGATCCGCTGCAGTAAATAAAGCCTGCAATAAGCTGCAAACTACCCAGTTCACGCTAAAATACACCACAGTAGGATGTTAACTCTAAAGCACAGCAACAGGAGCATAATGTTCATTTCCCATCATAGGCAATTATGCAAGAAATGGGAACACACTTGTGCTATTGTACACAACTTCATCAAACACTATGCCTTTGAGGAAGATGAAACACTCTTTCCCAGCTTTAACTCCTGTTTCTGTACTCCCTTTCCCACCCCTTCATTTGCCAACTTCGTGGATCCAAGACAGCACTCCTTGTTTTACAGACCTTTTGCTTATTACAGACCCCAATTTAAAGTGCCAGCTTTTTTAGCAAGCATTTACAAGATACAGGTTTGTTAGTATTAAGAAGACATGACAAAAGGCTCCTGGAATCAGGTAGATACATTTTTACCACAGCTTTACCTGTGCAATCTTCCCAGCCTGGAACATCCCTTCCAGTATTATGCAGGCAAAAAAAGTGCAAAAAATTTTTAGTGAAAGAAACCCAACACAACCATATGCTTAAAAAAACCAAAACAAAGCCAAACAGCAGCATTACAGAATAACAAAAGCTTCTGTATGTCTCCATGGCATTTGTAATATGAAAAGGAAAATTAATAATGATAGCTTATTGAATTATCTACATTTGCTACCAAGTTCCATGCAAACCAGCAGCACTATGGAGTGTTTCAGTTCTGGGCCTAAGTCGCCCACAGACAAATCCCTGGCAGCTAAGACTGCCTCAGGCCTTGCTCTATAATAATGTATTACTAGCAATCAGCTGCACTTTATGCTAACCTACACAAAGAAGCAAGGGCATTTCTGAGTCTCGCCACAGTCCTAGAACACCTCACAAATTGCTGGTCCAGAGAAACAAAGTAGGCCACACCATACTGCCCACAGTCACAGTACCTTTCCCTTAAAAATGTACACAAAGACAAAATAACAGCACACAGACAAACACAACTCAAGGGCATCTTGAGTCTTTGTTTAAAGAAACACTGAGACCCTGCTGGAAATGAAGGCAATAAAACACATTATGTTAGGATTTAGCCCCACGGTAGAGGTGCCAGCGCAGGAATTGGTCCTGACACCCAAGTTACCTCTCCAGTAAGAGGTCTTCAGAAGTCAGATCCTTCAGGATTCTCAGTTTTGAGAAGGATTTTCCTGAGTGCGCAGGGACGGGGCCCTCCTTTCATACACTAGATGGCCCATGCCTTACCTCCTGCAACACAGGGTCTCAGCAGCTGTATTTCCAGGAAAGAGGGCAGCTAGAATTGACAGCAAGGAAGTATGAATGGATTCCCAGCAGTTGCAAAAACACTTGATATTAACAGTCTGTGGCACATCCAAAGCCCACGGGAATGGAGAAATGGAAGAAACAGGTCACGTTGCCCACAAGTGAGCTCACACACAAGACAGGACTTTAAGTATCATTAAAAACAGATGAATTCTCAGGAAGGACTGATGCTAATAAGACTCCACCTGCAGCCTTATTAAGAAATCCATATGAAATCCATTCTGGCCTAGCAATGAAGAAACACTAAATGCATTGTGGTCAAACTTTTTTTTTTTCTTTTTTATTTAAAATATCATTATAACCAATTGACATACTAGATAACAATGTATACATTCCAGTGGTGCACATGTAATGACCTATGGCATGAATGAGTAAAAAAACCACAATGTTCTCAGTAATGCCCCACCAACAGCTTATTTGGAGGGAATAAAGGAAAAGCAGGAAAAGGTATCAAATGTGGGGAAGTAAAAAAACCTACAGTTTTCCCCGGTATTTTTAATGGTGTATCTTCCCCTTCATATTTCTTGGGACAAAATAAAATTAAGAATATACTTCAAAAGGGGCAGAAGGAATGATCACAATAATTAGGGGGTTTTTCTCAACTTTAGTAATAAAAGTTAAAGAACTCTCAAAAATAGACTAGATATTGGGCCTACAAAAGTAATTCATCTGTATGCAAAGCTTACCAAGAATTATTCCTTTTGTAAAATGTAAAGGATGAGCTGACATTACTAGTAAGCTATTTTTACCTACAAAACCAGACTACAATAATAAAATCACCGATTTACAGCTAACACAATATTCTAGATGTACATTATTGTACACAAGCTATATATTACACATGAACATCTTACGTGAAATATATAAGAAACATACTTACTGATATTGTCTCAACATTGGCCAATAGGTTTTTCTAAAGGAAGTGTATTTTTCTATTCACATTCAGTGTAGTTCCAATAGCAAGGGTTAGCTTTGCTTACTTAAGAAACGTAGAAAGTTTGTGTGAGGTAGTTCAAGAAAACCTAGCTTAAATTTTTAACTGCAGAAGTAGAAACATAATGTGATCTGATTCATAACATGGTTCTGTAATGCAGAGATAGCTGAAGAAGAGAAGGGAGTGAAAGAGATCACTTAA